AAAGAACAAATAGAAAAAAATATGAAAATGTGCGTGCTTATAGTGAAAGATTATGTTACGCTCTTATTATTGTTATTAATTGCTTATCAAAACCCCACCTAACAAGAATAAAAATAATCAACTCGACACTGTCTCATTCATACACACCATAATCTCCACCAAAAATTTATTTACTCATTATTACAATTTACAACCTTCTCTTATATAGTTTCATCATCATCATTTACTTTGTTTTAATTCTTTCTTCTCATATCTTGAGAAATTTGTAACATTACCAAGAATTAATATTCAATTTAGACCTTAAAGTATAGGTTTAAAGACGATTTGAATCTAAACTTTTAAAAATGTATATTTTGAATCTTAAACGTCTGTCAAATTGGAGTCTAAAGTGTAATTTTTTTAAAATAAATTTGACAGATGTTTATTGAAAGTTAACAGTAGAGGTCAAATTGTTCCAATTCTAATTGTTTAAGGTTCAGAATGCACTTTTTTAAAATTTAAGTTTTAAATTGCTCATGAACCTATAGTTTAGGGTCTAAATTAATATTTAACCCTTTAGTTTATAAATAGCATAATTCATTATAAATTTTATGTCATATATGTGTGGATTGATGGAAGAATGTTTGGGATAATACACATAGGATAAGAAGAAGGCAGAGGAGACCCCAACAAAATTACGCGGGCATGTGAAACCAGTGGAGGTATAATAAATTTAATTATTATTTACATTTAGTTCATAGCCAGTATAATTCATTATAAATTTTATGTTATATATGTTTGGAATTTTATGTTATCTTGTTCAATATCAGGAAGTGTTTATTTACGTTACTGTATATAGTTGATCGTTTGTTTGTGTTGAGACCAATTCTTTCTCTCTGTTTTTTTTTTTTTAAATGTCAGAGATTACTTCACTTGTAGTGTGTTATAAAGGTTGATCGCCTTGTGTTGACTAAAAATTTATTCTTTTTGTGAAGGCTAAAGTATATTTTTCATTTATTAATTTTATATAAAATTTTAGTTTAGTCTTTTAATTTTATAAAATATCTTTTTAATCCTTTAACATTATCATTATTAGTTTCAAATGATTATTTTTTGTATTAATAGTTATTATTTTGAAAAAATTAAACTTAATATGTTAATATTTGATAATATTTTGTTAATATTTGAAAGTTTAATGTAAAAATTTGTTAGGATAAAACTAACAATGTTAGGGTTAAAGGATTAAAAAGATATTTTATAAAGTTAAGGAATTAAAATAAAATATTATGTAAAGTTAAAAGATTAATGTATATTTTAGCCTTTTGTGAATTAAGAGTAATTTAGATTTGAATTCGATGAATGGTTTAAATCCACTTACAATTATGTCCAAAAAAGTTATACGGGAAAAAGGAAAGAAGAGGAGGTATAATAAATTTAATAATTATTTATAGTTAGTTTATAGCTAGTATAATTCATTATAAATTTTATGTTATATATGTTTGTAATTTTATGAAGTGTTTATTTATGTTATTATACATAGTTGATCGTTTGTTTGTGTTGAGATCAATTCATTTTTTTTTATATCAGAGATCAATAAAGGTTGATCGCCCTGTGTTGACTTAAAATTTATTCTTTTTGTAAATTAAGAATAATTTGGATATGAATCCAATGAATATCTTAAATCCACTCATTGAATGAATGTTTTAATTATAACTATCATTGAATTTTATTCACATTTAAAAATTATTAAAATACATTTTCTTTCAAAAATAATACTTCCCACATATACTGCCTCATCCAAAAAATTTTCATTTGTAATTGTCTGAATATCATATAATAAAATCTCTTACAATTATTTAATTAATTAATTAATTATTATCATATCATGATTGAATGAGTATATTTATGCCATGGTTCCAAATCCAATCTCAGCTATTTGTTTTACTATCACTTTTCATGTTCACTTTCCTTCCCCCGGGGCTTATTCTACTTCAAACATCCACAGTAATTAAATATGAAGATATCAATAAAAACTAAAGTATACTTTTTATTATTTAAATTTTTATAAGATTTTGTTTTAGTCTCTTACTTTTATAAAATATATTTTTAATCATTTAATCCTAACACTATTAGTTTTAAATAATTATTTTTTATGTCAATCATTTTTATTTTAAAAAAATTAAACTTAATATATCAACAATTGAAAATGTTTTGTGATTAATATTTAAAAATTTAATGTAAAAATTTTTTTTGATAAAACTAACAATATTAGTTTGGAGAATTGAAAAAGATACTTTATAAAATTAAAAAATTAAAATAAAATATTATGTAAAGTTAAATGATTAAATATATATCTCGCCCTATCAATAAATTGTTGACTGTCAATACCGTACATCAAGCTTTTTTTTAGTTGATGGGTCAAAATATCAAATTAATTTTCAAATAAGAAACAAAATTTATATGATTTTCTCCGGATCAATCTTCTATGGGCACAACAAATTCAAGACAATTAGGTGGGTTTCTGGAGAAATAATAAATTTCATTATTATTTACATTTAGTTTATAGAAAGTATAATTCATTATAAATTTTGTGTTTTATATGCGCATTGATATTGATGGACTGAATGTTTGAAATAGTATGGTACAAGAAGCCCAAGACAGATGAAAAAAAAAAAAAGCATGAACAATCTCCTTCCAATAAGACAAAGAAAAATGATGAGACGAAGGCGTCCGCAAATAATAATAATAATCATAATCATAATAAAAGGAGATGAGACGTCTCCTGAAAACTATTCCCATTTTTAATTAAAATTTATCCCAAATAAAATGGTGAATTATTTTTAAACTAACATTATTTTTTTACTTACTCTTATTTAATATAATATTTTATTTTAAAATAAACATAAATTAATTTATTTATTTTAAATATTTTTAAAAAATATATTAATTATAATTTTAAAAATATTTATATTTTTTAATATTAAATCTCTTAAAAAAATAATTATATTTTCACACAAAAAAGTTAAAGAAAAGCCAAGTAAGCCGATAAGGAGGCTCATGGCCCACCATCTCTTTGGCTAAACATATTACATGCGCGCACCATGGATTTAGTTTTGGTGCTCATCTTAAAATGAGCTGTGTAATGCTCAGTATCAAAATACTATTGTTTGGCAGTGTTAATTTTTTTTTTCTTTTGTCAAACCACAAACTTATTATAATAATAAAAAATAAATATTATAAAATTATTATTTTAATATTTAATAAGCAAATAAATACTAAGATGTTAAAATTAAACCCGGGTAGTTCAAATAAAAATTTTAGTTTGAATAGTTTAGAACTGTACTAAAAAATAAAAAAAATGATCTAAAGAGTTTAAAATGAAAATTGAGTCTAACAAAATGAGCTAGTTTCTTACACTGTAACAAATTAATATTTAAATTTCTCTTGAGAGAAGTATTTATATTTAATTTCCAACTATACTTTTAATGATATATTTCTCATAGATAGACAACTATGCAAAATCAATACATAAATATTTTTTATTACAATTCTAATTTTTTCAGTATAATTTTAAACTGTTTATATCAAATTTTATATATGAACTATTCAAGTTAAATTTTAATGAATCAAACTATTCAAGTTCAATCTCAGTTAATATTTATTTGTTTATTAAATATTTAAATAATAATTTTATAATATTTATTTATTATTATTATTATGATGAATTTGTGATTTAAAAAAAGTAAAACAATAACAACAACAACAACACTGCCAAACGGCAATGTTTTGGTGCTGACCACGACGGTGCTGAAATCGAGTCCACCATGGAGGCCGCGCACCATTGTCTATCTGCTTTTTATGATTTACCTGGTGCATATTTGTGTCGTGTTTCTTTTGTGGTTTCCGTGAATAATAATTTCTGAGTGAGTTTGGACATCGGTTATTTTTAATTTCTCTCCAGGTGATGTTTCACATATCTCTTATGCTACCAGGTTTAATTATATCTATGATAATGATAATGTTATTGTAAATTAATTTTAGCCTCAGACGGGCCCACATAAGCCAAACCCGCCCGAATAACAAAATCCCAATGAGAAAAAGAAACCTGACGAGAACAAGTAAGGCTCCTCGAAATTGGTCGAAGGAGGATGAGGAGGTTCATGGCAAGAAGCTTCACCATCTCTTTGCCTAAATATGTTACATAACGCATGTGCATGCATATATGTGTGTGCATTTATGTATGTATGTAAAAGCACATCACTGAGGCATCACTAAGTGCTTTTTATGATTTGCCTTGTGTATTTATGTGTTTTGTTTTGATTTTCCTTATGTATTCTGTGTTGTGTTTTGTTTGTGGTTTCAGCAAATAATAACTTCTGAGTGAGTTTAGAGAATGTTTTATCTCAAGGTGTTGTTTCACATATCTCTTGTGCGCTACTAGTTTTATATATATATATATATATATATATATTATAATGATGATAATATTGTAAACTATTTTAGATGACTTTATTTAAAGGTTAAAGGATATTTTTGCATTTTATCTATTCGTTCAGGAGTATTTACTATCTTAAATTTTTATATGGTACAATTTTACCCTTCAGCATTTGAAATGGTGCACTGGGCATCTTGTCGTTAAAAAAATTAACTTTAACAGCTCATAGTTAGCCAAAAAAATTACAAAAAATGGCTAGAAACCTTACAAAAAAAGGACCCATAAAATTGTAAATAGATATCCTATAAAAATATTAATTTTGATTAAGTCTTTAAAATAATAGTTGGCCAAAATTGTATTTTGACCTTTTATGTAGGTAAGAAATAATATTTGTATCCTATTATTTATATATAATTTAAGATACCTAATTGATATTAATTTTCATATAGGATATTTATATGTAATTTTATGAGTGCTTTTATGTAACTTTATAAATTTTTGTATACCCAAAAAATAAAGAGCTTGCAAAATAGCATGGATGCAAAGAGTAAGAACCTAAGGAATATAGCTCATTAAACTAATGTTATTAGTCTGCAAGAGGATTGAGCACGTGGCCAACAAACAACAAGGCTCTAGTTCTTTGTTCCCTGACTAGAAAGAGAAAAGGGTGATCAGCCACAAAGTGTAATTTAGGAGGAGGCTTGAAATTTGCTGCACAACTCGCACACGCCATGGCAGTGGCTGCTCCAGCTTTTGTTGCGCCTTCATTTACTTCAATGAATGCCTTTTGAAACATGCTTGAAACATATAGATTTTCACCATCAATAATAGAATCTGCCACTTCTGTTGCTTCTCTTCCTGTCAATGTTAACCCTAGCTAGTTCCCCCAATAGTTCAGAAGCTGTCACCTCACAAGAAATCTTAAAATTTTGGGATCTTGAGCTCACCTACTTCAACTAGGGTTTGAGGAAGTTGGTTCCAAGAAGCCAGATTGTGAACCAATCTTCTCATCCAATGAAAGCAGGTCATCAATGTACATAATCTGGAAGAAACACATACATGGTGAACCTACGCTTATAATTTCACTTCTCCTATAAGAGAGACCTAGGACTTTGAAACCATCACAAACTTTTATATCCTGATCCTTCTTGCTCGTCATGAAAGGAGCTTTCACTATGTTCCCACATCCAAGATGGAAATCATAGTCTTTGAATTTTTGATGAATTAAATTTGTCATTCCATGTCCCTTTGAAGTATAGTGCATTTACAAAGACAAGCCTGTCGTCTAAGCTGCTAAGAGAGACCAGCCCCTCCTCTGTTGCTGCCTCTCAATATCTCTTTCTTTCTCTATTTCCAGCAAGAGAGCACGTTGTTGATATTCAAAATTTTTGACCATCTATATTGGTGTATGGCGCCTCCATCGCGACGGATGGCATAGAAAAACTCAGTAGTTCTATACATTTTAGCCCACTAATTTGAGTTTAGGTAGCCCAAAATACTTCTGGACCTAATCCAAAGGTTGTAAATAAATTTAATAGGTCTATTAGCTATTCCTAACAATACTCACATAAATCAAAGCTCAATTTTTATTTAATTAACCTTGATTAGTCCCCTTAATCCAAAGACTAAAAATTTAGGATATTACAGCTCCTTTATGTGGTGACATTTATCATTGCTGATTGTATACTTTTAGCACGGCTTTTATTGTCATTGCAAATAAAATTAATGATAGCAATTTTCATGACAACCACGGGTCTTTAACTTTTAAATCTTTTTTAGTGGATATGAGAGTCACATTTTATTAAGCCAAAATTTCGCATAAAGATGCACACCAAAATAATGTCCATAGACAAGCAAAAAAGTGGGAAAAAAAATGAAATAGACAAATTTTTTTTTTTTTAATTGAAAGACCACCACCAGAGAATACCTCCTCACATGACAGTTATTTTTTGCTACACTAAATAGTTAATAATCATCAAGTAAAAGGACTTCATGTAAAGGCCCATTACTTGATGGTTAATAATGATTGCCTTACTTGATGGTTTTTAGGTAATACCCCTCAACTATTGAGAAGCTTAAAAATTTTAATTCTAAAAATTCTAAATTTTTGACAATATAAGAGCATAAAAATGTATATTTCCTGGGTTTTATGTCCTCACTTCATTCTAAATTTTAATCTTAAAAATTCTATTCTACTCAACACAACAATAAACAACCAATTTTCAACAATACTCAGCAATAACAACATAAATTTAATCTATTTAACAGTAAAAAACACCAAGAAAGTAATGGAATGAATGAAAAAATAATGGAGATATCCAATTTAACTTTCAAATTAATAGTAAGATTAACTAACTAAAAAAAAATTTCAGAGCACTCAAAATCACCTCACAATCAACACTAACAACACCTAGTAACAAGAATAGACCCACGGAGTCAAAAAATTCAGGTTTGAAATCAAAATCCATAATTAACATTCTCAAACAATGATTCAAGGTGGAGAAAGTAAGAACCAATCTCAATGTGCAAAGAAAACATCAAGAGGGGGGGGGGGGAGACAAGAACCCACGGATGAAGACCCACAAAGATGAAAACAAATGCCCAAGCTTGATTATTTGTGAACCGACCAAAACCCACCAAATCTTTGTTGTTTTGGGTGCGAAATGATGATTCAAAGGTAGAAATGGGTTTTTGAAGACTATTACAGAGAGAAAACCGAGAAGGAATTGTCCTAAATCGTGCAAAAATGACTATTTAATTAGCAGATTTAAATTATAATACTTGATAGTTATTTTAAAATAATCTTCAAATATTATATATTTTTTTATGCTTGTTTTGTGGTAAATGTCGATATATAAAGCCTACGTTTGATGGTTATATCAAAACAATTGTCAAATATTAATATTTTTTAAATAATTTTATTATTATTGATTATTTGATGCTTGTTTCATGATAACCGTCAAATATAGACTTTATATGTTTGACAGTTTTTCCTATACAAGCGTCAAATATATATATATATATATATATTCAACAAAAATTAAGATAAAATATATATTGGATGGTTCCTTCCTAATGACCATCAAGTATATTTTTAAATACTTAATGGTTGTTTCGTAACAACTATCACGTATTCTCTATCTTTTTTATTCGTAATTTTTCTCTAACAACCGTCAAATGTAGGGTGTCTTATTTGACCTTTTCTATGGTAGTGTAGGTTAATTTTTATTTCTAGTTAGTATATAAAAAAAAATCTTTAGCAAAATACCCCACTATCCCATAAAATAGGTAAATATCAAAAAAGTATCACAGAATGTGATAATTATTTTGAAATTTTCAAGAACTTATCTAACATAAATTTTTTATTAAATTACATTTATGGCCCTCTACAAAATAATAGAAAATATAGTTGTTAAAACTTAAATTAAAGTTGTTAACAAAGAAAGTAACATTGTTAATATAGGATATTGTATAAATAAACTAAAGTTATGAACACCTATATTGTTAATACCTATTGTTAATTATTGAGTTAAAGTTATTACTTTTTTAAGATGTGTACTTACTATTGCATAGATAAACTGACAACAACGATGTATATATTAATAATTTTATCTTTGTTATTAATAACTTCAGTTTATATATTAACATTAACTATGCTTTCTATTTTTTACTAAAAGTTAGATATGTAATTTAAAAAAAAGTATGTCAAATTAGTCCTTAAAGATTTATTTGTCATTCTTCATTATATATATATACACACACACACCCATATATGTGTATATGTGTGTGTGTGTATATATATATATAGATCTCATCACTTTACTTTAGATCTCATTAACATACATTGCTGTCTTTTGGGAGTTATTAAAGAAAAAAAGTGAAATGCATCATATCTTTTAAATATCCAACCATATAAATCCAAATAATAGGTCCTATGGCTTGCTCCCAAAGGTATAAAGTAAAAGCTCCAACTTCTAGATAGAATTGATAATTTGTATCAAGCCTAACAACCATTCCAAAAAAATTTAGAGTCAGGCATAATAAAATGACATATTTTCAATGTTTGGCCTATTCAAGTTGGCTAGTAGGCCCCAAAAAATTGGGTCAAGACCGGTCCGTTGGGCTTGCCTTATTACCCAAACAAAACTTTGATTTTTTTAAATATAGAAAAATTATATTTTATATTTTTATAGTAATAAAAATAATTAATTCTAAATTACATTTTTTTAAATGAAAAATAATTTGATAATTCAAGTATACAGGTCAGCCCAAAACTAGAGAGTGTTAGGATTAGGCTTAACTATATACTTAGCATACTAGGAAAAGACTTGGGTACTAATTAGATTTATATACTTGGCATATTTTTTGTAAGATCAGACAATAACACCCAAAAAAAGAGTGTAATTATGTGTTTGGGAGTTTTTCAATTAGATCAAACTTTTTGCAAAGTTATGTAAAGTTCAAATTGCAAGTAGAAGTTTTAGCAAGATAAATCAGTGAAACACTAAAATACTTTTGCTGCAAACATTATCAAAACACTTCAATAGAGATGTAAAAAAAGATTTCAAGTACAAATGTAAATTTGAATCAAATCAAAGAATTTATCAAAATTGTTTTGAACAAATAATTAGTATAAATAAGTTTACAAAATACTTTTCAAAATAGAGAACAAACCAGTTCAGGTGTAAAAATAAGTACTTGGAGGATTTAAATACTTTAGTACACAAATACCAAGAGAGAGTGTATAAAGTAAATGAGCTAAATGTAAAAGTGTAAGGATAGAAATATTGCATATAGATTTATCCTGATTCAGCCTAATCACTTGGTTTGCATCCAGTTCCCAGCTCTCACTTGAGATTTTCTACTATATTTACAAGCTTCAATAGGTGCTTGCCACCATATTACAAACCACAAGCTTTTAAGGGTACTTATGAGCTGTTTATAAGGTATCTTAATGCACCAGTAAGTCTCTTAATTTTTCATTTCAAGATAGTGAACACTCTTTAAATCTTACAAAGAAAATTCTCTTTGCAACCAAGGGAAAGACCACCCTTGAATCTCTTTTACAATAGAGATTGATTTCTTCCTGATGTATTCTTTATCACAGAGATGATGGGAAACAATTTAGGAACTCAATAAAACTCTCTTTAAGAGTAGATATTACTATTTTCACCTAAGAACATGCTAATAGCTCTTTTTCACATGAACACAGAATAATAGGTAAGAATTGAATGCATGACTCTTAAATCTCTCTTAATATGTACCAACTCACTAAAGTGAGATCCTGTATATGGATAAATGATTTTTAAACTGTTAGAACCCTTTCAAGGCATATTATAGCCATTGGAGACATGCTGAAGTGATCTATGACATAGAAAATACTTTTTTCCATGAAGTGCATTAAATGTTGTCAGAACACTCATTCAAGTGTGGACAAGCATGATTCACGTGTGGATGAGCTTTCTTCTCTTTTACTCACTAATCATTTCAATGATTCAAGCATGGGTAAGCGTGAATGATGTGTTATGAAGCAACAAGCTTCTATGTGAGTTCAATCATGTATGGGTAATTTGAGTACTAAGTGTCGATGAGTGTACGAAGGCACTTTGCCTCTCTGTGATGAAAATCACGCTTAGGCAATCTTTGAACCAAGCTTGGATAGCTTTTTTAGTTCTAAGGTTCATTCTAAGTTAGGCTTGAAGGTTATAAGGGAATCATCCATTTAAGCATGGATTTTGCAAAATTCAAGCGTGGATTGCTTCTTAGGCATAACTTAAGTTAACACTTAGGATCAATCAAACATAGGGAAAATAACATTCAAGCTTGAATTAGATCACAAAAGCTTAATCAAGACATTTTTCCACACTTCCTTGCTATTCAAGCGTGGACACAGAGATATTCAAGCATAAATCAGTACACAGTGCTATATCTTCACTTCTAACTCTTTAATTCAAGTAATGTCCATTTATGGTCTAAGCTTGAATGCGATCCTTTAAGTCCTACATGTACAAAAGATGATCAATCACTCGTGGGACACACTTACAATCAAAGTGTGAATGAAATAATGTGAATCAAAGTGCATGCCAACAACCATCAAACAAGCTTGGGCCACTTCTTATCCAAGTTTGGATGAGACAGTTAAGCTTAAAGGACTTATGAGTATGTAACTTTCTAGATCATGCATTCATATCATATTCAAACCTATATTTTTAGCTCGCAATAGTTGTTACAAAGATATCTAAGAGAAGAATAAATAAAGTAAACCTATTATACCAAATCTTATCTTGATCTTCATTCTTGAGTGTAGCATGCATATGATGACTCTCATAATAGCTTCTTCATGCTCACTTTTCATTCTTGAGGTTTTGTTCACTTGATTCATGATATTGTATTTCTGCACAAGTAACCAACTCATTCCTCTTAATTTTGTTATCATCAAAACAAATGGTTCAACACTTTTATCTAATTAAAACAAGACAAGTGGATTTTAAATTTTTTATCATGAACTTTTTGGCTAGTAATATAGTGTAGTTAAATTAAAATATTTTAAGAGGCTGAAAATATCAATTAACGAATAATTAAAGCATGCCATATGTTTTCCTTTTGAAAAAAAGCACCCATTGTGGACAAATTGGTTGTCAAATAAATAGGCTTATTTATTTATTTTTTATATAGAAAATCAAAATCATCAACCATGGTGGAGGACCCATCCAAATGTAATAATCTCCATCCCCTTTTCTCTGACTGTGACCAATCACACTTGCCCAACACAAAGGCCAATTATAAATAGACCTTACAATCTATCGTCCACATATACACAGACACAAACAAGTCTCTTCATCTTCATCTTCATCTTTTTCTTATTATTTACACGTACGCTGATGAAGCAGCAAGAGAGTCCCACATCATGCAGGCCGGGACGAGAAAAAAGAGGAGGTATAATTAATTTCATTATTATTTACATTTAGTTTGTAAATAATATAACTCATTATAAATTTTAAAAAAAATTAATCTTTTAATCCTCCAACTTTTAATTCACTTGTAACTCAGTCTCTCAACTATAACTCTCTGTGACTCAGTCCCTCAATTATGACTCGCTCACAACTTAGTCCCTCAACTTTTGAATCACTTACAAATTAATCCCTAAACTTTTGTTAATTTTTTTTTCATGTTAGCTTATATCTCACATCAATGAGCAAAAGGAGGGTATTTTAGAATAATATATGATAAGAAATTATAAGTGAATCAAAAGTTAAGGGTATTTTATCCCTCTTATTTGATAAGAAATTTTTTTAAAAAAATTAAAAAAATAACCATCAAATTATAAGTGAATCAAAAGTTAAGGGCATCGAATTTTAAGTGAATCAAAAGTTGAGGGATTGAGTCGCAAGGATTTATAGTTGAAAGATTGAGTCGCAGTAAGTCATAATTGATGGACTGAGTTATAAGTGAGTTAAAAGTTAAAGGATTAAAAAATTAATTTTTCTTTAAATTTTATGTTGTGTGTGTGTGTGGATTGATATTGATTGAAGAATCTTTGAAAAAATGTAGCATTAGAAGCCCACAGACGAGAAAAAGCAAGAATAGCAACCTCCCCATAAGACAAAGAAACATGAGGAGACGACGGAGACATCTACCCACAAAAATTAAAAATGATGATGAAGTCTCTGGAAATTAGTCGAAGGAGGATGAGGAGGTTCATGCCAAGCACCACCACCACCTCTTTAGCTAAACATATTACATAGACGCATGTGTGTGTGTGTGTGTGTGTAAAAGCACATAACTGAGGCATCACCATTGTCTATGTGCTTTTTATGATTTGCGTTGTGTATTTCGGTGTTGTGTTTCTTTTGTGGTTTTATGATCTGCCTTATTTATTTTGCGTTGTGTTTCGTTTGTGGTTTTATGATCTGCCTTATTTATTTTGCGTTGTGTTTCGTTTGTGGTTTCAGCAAATAATAACTTCTGAGTGAGTTTGGAGACTGCTTTGTCCTCAGGTGTTGTTTCAAATATTTCTTGTGCGCTACTAGGTTTAATTATATATATAATAATGATGATAGTACTGTAAATTATTTTAGATGACTTTTATTTAAGAGTTAAAGAGCATTTTTACCTTCAATTATTCACTCAAAAGTATCTACTTTCCTAATTTTTATATGGTGCAATTTTGCCTTTTAATATTTGAAATGGTGCATTGAGCACTTTATTGATAAAAAAATTAACTTTGATAATTAAAAAAATAAAAAAAAATACCTAAAAATTAAAAAAAAAGCACCCATAAAATTGAAAAAAGTACCCTATAAAAAATTAATATCGATTAAATCCTTAAAATAATAGTTTATCAAAAATGTATTTTTACATTTTTACATTTGTAAGAAATAACATTTGTATTATATCATTTTTCATGTAATTTAGGATACATATTGATATTAATTTCCATATAAGGTACTTCTATTGTAATTTTATGAGTGCTTTTATGTAATTTTTTTTAATTTACAATGTTTACTATTTAATCAACTTATGTATAAATTATTTTAGATGACTTTATTTAGAGATTAAAGGACATTTTTGTACTTTAACTATTCATTCATGAGTATGTATTATTTTAAACTTTCATGTGGTGCAATTTTGCCTTTCAATATTTAAAATGATGCAGTAGGCAGATCACCATAAAAAAAGTTAATTTTAACAATCAGGTGACAAAAAAATTATAAAAAATTATAAAAAAGGACCCATAAAAGTGCAAATAAATATTGCATAAAAATTAATATAAATCAAATCTTTAAAATAATAATTAGTTAAAATTATATTTTAACTTTTTACATGAATTAAAAATAACATTCGCATCATATTATTTATATCATAGAAACAGTTGAAGGGAAAAATTATCCTTTAATCTTTTTATTTAATTATATTAATCATCTTTAATTATTGCTGGCAATTGACCTGGTAATATCTAAGTGAGGAATTCTTTTTCAAGCAGTCTGCATATCCTTTTTCGTGCTGACACGCGAGCATTAACATATATATATATATATATATACAAAATAAAATATTTAAAAAATATCATACCCTCCCCAAAGTTATAAACATATAATCATGTATACATAATAGTTTTTCTATCTTAAATTATAAAATAATTTTTTTAAAAAATTTAATTTCTTAATATATAAAACATTTTGATAAAAATAATATTAATTATATTTTTAAAATTTTATTCTTTTCATATATTATCTCTTTTTAATATATAAAATAATTTTAAATGTTTATATTTTTTAAAAAGTGATATTATAAAATATATTTAATAAATTTTATTTTTATATGTAATTTTTTCTAAAATTTTTTTTATAAATTAGCACGAAATAAGTGTGTGTGTGTACGTTCACTTTATATCTTGATTATAAACACACAGCTTGTCTAGTTGTAAGTTATTAAAAAAAAATTGAAATTCATCATATCTTTTAAAAATCAAACCACAAAAATTCAAATGATAGGTCCTATAGTTTGTTCCCTAAGGTATAAAGTACAAACTTTTATATACATACACTCACATATATCAAATAAAAGGATAAAATAATTCACATATATACATAGGACTTTGATTCAATGTTTCTCTAAATAAATAATACCTCATGTTTTCTTAATTTACAATATTTACTATTTATAGAAAATAATTATACAAATGGATTGTTCCACTTTCTCTAATAAACAACATTTTTTAATATACATTTAAATTTTTATGCTAATATAAAATTTTTATTATGAATATTTTTTTTGCCAATAATATATTGTAATTGAATTAAAAAATTTAAAGTTGAAAATATTTTTTTTATTTTATTGCTTGGTATCTTGAAAAACTTGAAATATTACTATCTCTGATTTAATTGCCTCACTTTTTTTAATTTTTAAACTGAAATTTTTACTTTTTATTTATTTTTTATAATTTTTAAAAATAAATACCTAAAAAAATGACCTGACTAACCAGCAACTTGATCAAGTTATCCCAAGCTGACCTCAAGTCAGTCGGATCACATTGAGTCAGCTACAGATTGAGTCAACTAAAAAATCAGACCAATGAAGAAGCCAGTTCATCAGTCAAACTAATCGGTCACGTCCTACTTTATATTTCATTGTAAAAAGAACATCCACTCTTAATAGTAGGTCCTTTGCTTATAAACTTACATGAAACAGGATAAAAGCAAGAAAAACTAGAAGACAGAGAAGTAAAGGTGCTTGCAAGAGTTCTAATATCGGACAACACCATTTCTTTGACCCAACTCGTCTTCTCCGTCAAGCCAATAATTGAGCGAGGAATTTTCTTGAAGAAGATGACTTCCACTGGGAGTGGTTCCAAATTGTGAGCTGAAAACAAAGAGCTCTACGGACCCACATGAGATCCTGAGAATTTGGGAATTTGGCTTGTTGCTTGGTGATCGAGTAAGTGGTCTCATTTCCAAAGGTAAAGATGAAATCCCACTCTTTCAATCTTTCCCCTTATCCACTTTCTAATCTAGACTTTCCGTTCGTGCAATGCAACATTCGGATCGTGCTCACATCTGCGCCTGTGAACCTCTGAACTTGGAAGTGGTCTCTTGTTCAATCTGAAAATAGAATCCAGCTAAAGATTCAAGCTTCTAACTTCCCTAATTGTTTGTTCAGGGTTAAAGTCCTTTCCTTGATGCATAGAAGTGATGTTTCGTACCGCCTCTGTATTATCAGCTTCCATGAAATCATATAGATTAGTACGAAGCCATTCTCTGAAACTTCCCTGATTAATGTTTTCAGTCCTCAATCCAAAGGCTCCAAACCAAATCAGGCGTGTTTGATTGCAGAGAAAGAATACTTGAGATGTAATTGACATAATTGAGGTAAGTTTTTCTTTTTGAAAGAAAGCACTTGGATATAATTGAGATCCGACTAAACGATGGCTGGTTCTGTTCTTGTCGAGCCTTCCTTTACCAGAAGCAACTATCCACTCCAAATCTTGCAGCCTCGAATCCTAAACCTGTAAGTAATTAAAAGAAAAGAGAAATTTTAATTGGAATAATTTGTAAAAAGGAATGCTTTTTAAAGATGGTCTTGGCATGATAATAATCTCCCTCCCTCCCTCGCCCCCCTTTGGGTACAAAATTAACCTAACAGTCAGAGCTCAACATATGAATTGATGTGATTGGGCCCATTGCCAAGCATGACATAGAAGCTCTATCTCTCATTAAACCTAATCAATAAGAAAGCTATCTCCTCTTGAAATACATTAAGAAGATTAGAAACCTAACTATAATAGACTGGGAGATCACCTTCAAGCACATCTATAAAGAAGTGAATGGATGTGTCGAATTGCTTGCTCATCAGACATCCTATGATAATTTTGATGTTATGATCTTAAATAATCTGTCGCCTAATTGTATTAACTATTGACCTTATGATTCTAGATGTAATTTGACTTGAGTCTCTTTGCACGATTTTTCCATACCCTTGTATTAAAAAAAAAAAAAGTATGAAGCTTAGTTCACTGAAAATTTGGTAAATTAGGCTTTCACTTAAAATGTGATGCTGATTTTGTTAATAAGGGTTAGTCCATTGATCAAAATTTAGTTTATAAATTATAGTTGTGGAATCAAATTTCATTATCAATATGAAAACTTTATTGGTGGATAATCTGTAAGTGCCTCTATAAGCACTCTTTGGAAGCATGCCCCAATTCTAGTGAGCTCTCAAGACTCATCTTACCTAAACTTTTTTCCTTTTCTATTGAAAAAAGTGATTAAAGAATTCTAAAGGAGTTTATGGGAGAGACGTTGGGAAAATCACATGACCTAATTTCATTTACAAGTTTTTTTTATTTTCTTTTCTTGTAACCAAAAAAAGATTCTTAGTTTTTCTGATTTTGGGGTAAGAAAATGCTTAAATTTAGATATTTGTTATGGAAATAACAAGAATATAAAAGAGATGAAGAACACAAAAAAAAAAATTGGAGCATAAATGAGGAGTGAATCTTATTCATTTTGGGTTATCATGAATGTGTGTACATTTATTTTAGGAGGAATGACTTGTTAATTACATAATTTTATTTATTAATATCTTAATGGGACTTGTTAATTACTTAACTTTTTTTGTTAACATTATAACTCCCACAATATAACTACATTATTTGTTAATTGCATAGCTATACTTGTTAATATCTTAATAGAATTTGTTAATTACTTAACTTTTCTTATTAAGTTCGTAACTCCTACAATAGAATTACATTACTTGTTAATCGTATAATTGTACTTGTTAATACCTTAACAAGATTTGTTAATTACTTGAATTTACTCGTCAAATTCATGACTCCTTTAACTAAACTATATTACTTGTTAATTATATAATTTTACTTATTAATTACACAACTTTACTTGTTTATGCTCCAATTTTTAGGTGGAACATATAGTTCAAATAGAATTCATATATGTACGCATAACATGTGCGGGCGTGAAGGTCTTTGATTCAGTGTTCTTTCTAGCCAGGAAAGACTTAGTACTGATAAGATTTATATACTCAGCATATTTTTATCCAATTAAAAAAAAAACAGGTGGATTTTAATTTTTTTTATAATCAATTTTTTCCTAATAATATAATATAATTAAATTAAAATATTTTTTAAGAGGCTGAAAATATCAATTAACAAACAAGTAAAGCATACCATTGAGGATGAATTACCTTGTCAAATAAATAGGCTTATTTATTTATTTATTATATGAAAAATAATCAGGTATGGTGGCGGACCCATCCAAATATAATAATCTTCATCCACTTATCTCTGTCTGTGACCAATCACATGTCCAACACACAGGCCAATTATAAATAGACCTCCCAATCTGCCGTCCACATACACACGTAGACACATAAGTTTCTTCATCTTCATCTTCATCATCTTCTTATTACTTGCAAGCACGCCATGAAGCAGCCAGAGACAGGCCCAAATCCTGCAGACCAGCACAAGAAAAAAGAGGAGGTATAATTAATTTCATTATTATTTACATTTAGTTTGTAAATAGTATAATTCATTATAAATTTTGTGTTATATATATGTGTGTGTGCGCGTGCGTGCGTGCATGAATGTGGATTGATATTGATTGAAGAATCTTTGAAATGATATAGCATAAGACGCCCACACATGAGAAAAAGCAAGAACAACAACATCCTTCTCATAAGACAAAGGAACATGAGGAGACGACGAAGGCGTCTACCCACAAAAATTAAAAATAATGATGAAGGCTCTGGAAATTAGTCGAAGGAGGATGAGGAGGCTCATGCGAAGCACCACCATCATCTCTTTGGCTAAACATATTACATACACCACGTGCGCGTGCATATTTATATGTGTGTATTTATGTATGAATGTAAAAGCACGTACTTGAGGCATCACCATTGTCCAAGTGCTTTTTATGATTTGCCTTGTGTACTTCTGTGTTGTGTTTCTTTTGTGGTTTTATGATTTGCCTTATGTATTTTGAGTTGTGTTTCGTTTGTGGTTTCAGCAAATAATAACTTCTGAGTGATGAGTTTGGAGACTGTTCTCTCTCTAGGTGTTGTTTCACATATCCCTTGCGCACTACTAGGTTTAATTATATATATATATATATATATATATTTGAGAAAATAATAACCTTCATTGAAGGTTGAAGATCCAAAATATGTTGTTAAATTATATATATTTAATAGGGATATAGTTGAGAAATAATTAAATCTTTAGATAGAATTAATAAGTTGTAAGTTTTTTTAAAAAAAAATTTGATGAAACATATTAGAAGTTTTTTTATAAAGATGATTAGAAGAGTAACTTTTTTAATGACAAGTGCTTGATATATCATTTTTAAATGTTAAAGGAAGAAATTGTATCACATAAAATTTTAGAATACTAGATATTCTAGAGTAAATAGTTAAGGGGCAAAATGTACTTTAATCCACTTATATAATTATATTGATCATCTTTAATTATTCCTGGGAACTGACTGACTAATATCCATGCGAGGAATTCTATTTCAAGCAGTTTGCATATCCCTTTTCCTGTTGACACTCGAGTAAAATATATAAAAAAAATATCACACTATCCCTTAACTTATAAACATAAATACATAATACTCCCTTCATCTTAAATTATAAAATATTTAAAAAAATTTAATTTTTTTCAAATATAAAATATTTTGGCAAAATAAAGTTTTATTAGTAATTCATTTTCAATATTACCTTTTTTATATATTCTCTTTTTTAATATTTTTTTATAAATTAATTATTAAATGAAGGGTATTTTAAAAAGTTTATATTTTTTAAAAAACATAATGTAAAGTATATGTCAAGAGTTTTATTTATATGTGTAATTTTATCTAAAATTTTTTTATAAATTAAGGCAGAGTGGGTATACATATATTCACTTTAAATCTTAATTATAACACATCGTTGTTATTAAAAAAATTGAAATTCATCATTTCTTTTAAAAATCAAACCACAAAATTCCAAACGATGGGTCTTGCTCCTTAAGGTATAAAATAAAAGTTCAGACTTTTATGTGGAACATATATATATATATATATATATATATATATAAGAATTAAAGTGTAATTTTATTCTTAAACTATATTTAGAAAAGCAATGTTACCAACCATTTAAACGTTCGTTAACTGTAATTAGTGAGATTCACTTTTTATGAGTTAAAATACAATTTTGCCTCTAATTAAACTACTCTTAAAGAGAAATATTCCCTCTAAATTATTAAATCTAAGCACTATTGTTCTCACTTTTTAAAAATCATAAAAATTTATTAACTAAAGAGAGATAATGAAAAGTATTTTTTATATTAGTGTCATTCCATTTACATCCTTTCTAACATCCAATATTCAAGTGAAAGCATTTATTTGTATCATGATAGTTTTCACCAACATTTCAATCAATCATGAATTATATATTGAGAAAAAAAACTTAATTTTTTCACTAATTTTCTTTAGTGACAAATATGACAATAATTAAAGTATAGATTCACATTGATAACATTACAAGAAAAACTTTTGATTCAATAAAAAGCATATAAACAACATTTTCGGGATAAAAAGGTTGCTTCTTATCGTCTTGAATGAATCAATTTACAAAATTGACTATCATAAAAAAATATATTATCTCATATGCATTATAAACAAAAAAGTCTATACATAAACCATCATAAAGTGATTACCCAAAAACCAATTTAATAACTGAAATGTCATAGTCTAGTTAAAATTCTGACTTGATTCACTATGACCTAGAGAGATATAATGGAAAGTGAGTCGTATTAGTTACAGTTAATAAATATTTATGGTTTTTAAACGGTAAGAATAATATTATTTCTCTGAGAATAGTTTAGGAATAAAATTTCACTTTTACTCATGAAAAGTGTGTCCCATTAATTGTAACAATGGATGTTTAAAGTTTAAACAGTAAAGACAATATTGTTCTGATTTAATTAGTTTAGGAATAAGATTATACCTTAATCTTCTATAAAATAATTCATATATATACATGGAGGACTTTGATTCAGTGTTCTTTCTTAAATAAATAATACGTCATGTTTTTCTCAATTTACAATCTTTACTATTTATGGAAAAATAATTATACAAAAGGATTATTCCACTTTCTGTAAAAAAATATTTTTTAGTATATATTTAAATTTTTGTACTGATAAATTTTTTATTATGAATACTTTTTTGCCAATAATATATTGTAATTAAATTAAAATAATTTTAAGGCTAAAAATATTAATTTTTTTATTTTATCATTTAGCATCTTAAAAAACTTAAGGTATTAGCACCCTCCATCTAAATTAATCTGAATTTCTACTACGTAAGACTGTTATTATTAAGACAGTCTCACGTCTCACGATGACTTCAGAGATAGTATTAACATATTTATTTAATATAATTATTCATCACATGAGTTAAATTTTAAATTTTAAGATAAATTAATTTAATTTTTTAATCAGTTGAACCAAACTCCCTAGTTGAAAAATGTCAACTCGGATTTTTGTTGCTGGCTCTCCCTCGGCTCTCGCAGATGGGAAAGAGTGAAAAATGTCAATTGACAAATGAGTGAAGTACACAATATGTTTTCCTTTTTTGAAAGAAGGCACTTAGATATAATTGAGACCCGACTCAACGACAACTGTCCTGTACCCCACAAGCTTTCCCATTTCCACAAGCAACGATCCACTCCGAATCTTGCTGCCTCGAATCCTAGGCCTCAACATTTTAATAGGGAATACCTATAAAAAAAAAAGTAATTGTAATTGAAATAATTTGTAAAAAGTAAAGCTTTTTCAAGATGGTCCTAGGGCCCATTACAAATCATGAAGCTCAATTCACTACAACTTTGATAAACTTGACTTTCACCTAAAATGTGAAAGTGATGTGACCAATAAAAATTAATTTAATTGATAAAAATTTGATTTATAATTTATAAAGTAATGAGATTAAATTTAATTATTGATATAAACATTTTATTTGTGAGTAAATTGTAAGTGTATCGATAAATGTTATTTGAATTTAAAGGCATATCTTGCTTTCAGTGAGTCCTTAGAACTCAATTCACTTAAATTTTTTTAATTAAAAAAAGTGATCGCGATATTAAAGATTTCTAATGGAGCTTATGGAAGCCACGTTGGGGCAATCACATGACCTAATTTTATTTATAAGTTTCTTTTATTTTTTGAAAAAATTAATTTTTTAGTCCTCTAATTTTTAAGTCACTTATAACTCAGTCCCTCAACTATGAATCACTGTGATTCAGTCCCTCAACTATGACTCACCTATGACTCAGTTTCTCAACTTTTGAATCACTTACAAATTAGTCCCTTAACTTTTGTTAATTTTTTTTCATGTTAGCTTATATCTCACATCAATGAGCAAGAAGAGGGTATTTTAAAATAATATATGAGCTTTTTTTCCCTCTTATTTGATAAGAAATTTTTTAAAAAAAATTAAAAATAAGGACTGAGTTATAGGTGAATCAAAAGTTGAGGGATTGAATTACATGTAATTTAAAAGTTGAATGATTAAAATATTAATTTTTCCTTTTTTTTTCTTGTAACCAAAAAAGTTGATTATTTTTTCTGATTTGAGGCAAGAAAATGCTTAAATTTAGATATCTATCATGAAAATAAAAAGAATATAAAAGATTCAGATAAAAGAGATGAAGAACATAATAAAAAATTGGAGAATAAAGGAAGAGTGATTCTTATTCATTTTAAGTTATCCAAATTGTGTGTACATCACCTCAATTTATAGAACTCCAATATTGAAAGCTACCCCCAACAGTTACACGTACGTGAAAAAGATAATTAAACAATATAATTGTACAATTAGAGGTTATATCAAATTAGGAATCAAAGCCCAATACAAATAAATAGTAGAAACCTTTCAGTTAGGAGATTATGGGGAATAATGTCATTCAATATGGATGGAATGTGAAATGTTGGATGTTATGGATATCCACAATAATTATAACATTCATAACAATATGAGGTGCACATCCTGCATCTTATACTTTTCATTTCAACATTATAACATAACATTTCTTACACATCTCAAATATAAATGCTCTATTCTCAAATACAAATTTAATGAATAGACATCTTTCAACTAAATGATTATATATACAAGGATAAGGGTCTAAATCTCTAACCACTTTTTTAAGTGATGAAAGCCTTTATTACTTATGCTAGCTATAGTTGGTATTCTAAAGTCTAAATTTCATCCAAAGACATAAATATATATTAAGCCTATTAAAGAAAACAAATACAACCATTCGGGGTAGAGTCTAGCAAAAGATGCTAGTCTCTTAAAAGATAATGAATCAATATTTAAATCCTACCAAAAGAGATGCGTACGTTTACTGTCTGACCATACCTTGCGTCCTCCTAAAATATTCGTGGATAAAAAATAAAATAAAATAAAACAAATATAAGCTTATTAAGTAGTTCAAGTTTGAGCCCATTTTTGGACTTGTATGAACTAGGCCTAAAAACACTTTTATATTAAAAATTCCTAATTTTTAAAACCAAAATCCAAAAAAAAGGTTTAAGCAGCCAATCAATTAATTGCATAAAAGTATAAGTTTACATGAGATTTATTTTATATATCAAATAAAAGGATAAAAGAATTCATATATATGCACGGAGGACTTTAATTTGATTCAATGTTCTTTCTAAATAAATGATGCCTCATGTTTTTCTTAATTTACAATATTTACTATTTATAGACAAATAACTATGCAAATGGATTGTTCCACTTTGTCTAACAAACAATATTTTTTTAGACAGAATGATAATTAGTTTTCAAAGAACTGAAGTAATGACAGTTAGACCCTCAATAAAATTTTTTACAAAATAAATTATAAGTATCAATTTAAATATTTACAAATAGAAATTTCTGCTACAATCTAAAAATTACATTTAATATTTAAATACTTATTTAAAAATTAAAAATCCTATATTTGTAATAATTTGGATCAATATTTTTAACTTATTTTTTTTAAAAAAATTGGCGGGAACTTAACTAGTGT